CGAACAGTTCAGTGCCCATAGAAAGGTTGTTCCTTCATCAACAGATACGAAACAACGAGCGACGCGTATGCCTTTCTTAGCACATTGAACGATGGCAGGTTCAACGATGGCGTCAAAAGATGTGGCAGATTCTGGGGCGAACACCGCAACTGACCTCATTGACCATGGTGGCACTGTCGGCTCATGGGAAACAATCAAAGCATCCTTCGCGGCCTGCGGCGCATCATCGACGAGGGCAGGAATAATGTCACCGCTGACGGAAAGTTCACCGCTTCTACAGTCGACGAAAGTGCCACATCCTTGGAGAAACTGAAGACCGAGAAGCACATCGTGGGTACAACGTTGCAGCACAAGAAACTCTGTTGGGAGCACCTTTCCTGCCAATAAGACATTGACGGCACAAACTCCGACAGGATGAAGTACTTCCCCATAACACCACGAAACTTTGTTTATTCGCCCCAATAAAACGTAACTTTGCGGCCAATGCGACTTTTGCAAGAAAGACTCATAACTGATATCGTAGCACCAATGTCTACCAAAGCACTTGTAGAAAAGCCATCTATTTCCACACGTATCTTGTTCTTGGACAATATAACTGGCAGAGGCATCTGAGGCAAATTCTGTTGTGCGACCTCACCTCCATCGGTCGCCCTGGCTTTCCCGGCGGCGGCGGTGATGACAGGCGTCGTCCCGGCGAAGGGGAACGATGCAGTCGGCCAGATTGAGGCGCCAAACTACGGTCAGAAGCGGGAGAACTGCCCCGGTGATTTCCCCGCCGTGAGGAACTCCAGAAGTAGGGGGGCCAATGACCGTTGTTGTGACCAGTGCCCGCTGGCGGAAACTCTGATGGGGAACGATATCGGGATGTCGGCTTTCTCTGTCGACGACAGAACCGAGCTATATGCCCGGCGACACCGCAACGGTAGCACACAGGGGCTTGTCGGTGTGTATTGTACTCCTGGAAGGCATTGCGCTGACGTGGTGGCGGTACGGGTACATCTTCGTTCGGGTCGTTATAGGTGTTGGCTGGCTGATGGGAGTAACTGAAGCGGTCTTCGTACCTCGGCAGCGGGTAGTTATTGCGCTCTGACTCGGTGGTGTGGGTGGCCTGTAGTTGCAGTCATCCTTGCCTGCTGCGGCAATTGACACGGAAGAGCGAGAGGGAGGCGGTGCGGGTGTAGCTTCGTACGGCGTCGGGCGAGCGTGTCGAGCGAGCTCTTCTCGAACGATCTGGCGTATTGTCAACGCGAGATGAAGCGGCGTGTATTTGTCAACACTTGCCACGGTGGTACATTCGGTAGGCGACCGAACTTGGGGGTGATACGTCGCATCTTCAGGGTCTCGAATGTGCGAAAGTGGCTTATAATGTCGGTTACCGTAGCAAGACTGTCTTTGCTGATGAGGAACTGATACACGTCCTCGGCAATGCCCTTCAAAAGGTGACCAACTTTGTCTTCCTGTGACCTAGAAGTGTTGACAATCTTGCAGAGCTTCAGGATTGCCTCGATATAGGTCGTGCACGTCTCTCCTGGGATCTTAGCCCTCTGCAGTAACGTTTGTTCTGCCTGCTTTCTCTCAGCTACGGAGTCTCCGAAGAGCGCTCTTATTTCGGAAATGAAGCGATCCCATGACGTGAGGGCATCTTCGTGGTTCTCGTACCACACGAGTGCTGTGTCCGTTAAGAAAAATACTACGTTGGTCAGCTGGGTCGCCGCGTCCCACTGGTAGTATTTGCTCACCCGTTTGTAGTGTCTGAGCCAGGCATCCACGTCCTAGACAGATTCGCCACCGAATGTGCGAGGCACTATCAGATCCTGACACAACCAGGGACCAGCCGCACGTGAACCTGGTACTAGCAGTGCTGCGTGGACTGGTAGAAGGTCTGCAGCTGCGGGGATCTGGTTTTCTTCTTCACCGTGAGACATCTCAGCTGCCAGTGGTAACGGGGGCAGTCCAGCAAGGCGGCGGCTTCGTCGTAGATCAGGTGCTTGAAGCGTCGTGTTGCTTGGTTGATTACCCAGCACCTCCACCATAAAGCTGTTACGGTTGAAATTAATGATAGGTGGATTTATTTACAGGGTGGGGATGAAGTTCGGCAGTCGCGGTAAAGATGGAGTCCTCAGGCCGCACCAGACAACGTCGTCTTTCTCTTCTACCTACCCGGCACATACTACAGCCATGCTCATACCGTAGCAATATCACAAAACTATAGTTACCACAGTGACACGAAATAAAACGAATCTCTGCCTACAGTCCTTAGCAATGCGCTGTGACACAGCCCAACTAACGTTACGCCACAAATATGTCCACTCTGAAAGGTCACATTCACTTCATCTCGATGTCTCATCCCGAACATCCAGAAGGTTACATAATAACTTGAGCTTTATTCGCATATATGGTCGCTCATTAACATTCAACTCCACAACACTCCCGCAAGCCATTACATTATAGAATAACCTGCCAGACAACATAGCGTCATTGTCCAGCCCTGACACATTCCACCTCCTACTAATTGCTCATTTGCACTGAAGTCATTCATTGAATGTCCATTATTAAAGAGAACAATTTCTGTATACATGTGTATGATGAAACAAGCGCAAAAATACACACGCTCAGAGAGGACACAGACAAGCGCTTACTAGCAACTGAGAATTTTATTTTGAAACGAACACTAATAAATACATCACACGCATGTACGTCATTCCCGACTTCCCCTGTCATAAATAAAATAAAATGCAACTGAAAATAAAATTTTCAGTTGCTAGTTGGCACTTGTCTGTGTCCTCTCTGAGTGTGCGGATTTTTGCGCTTGTTTCATCATGAACCTTAACCAACACGCCCAACTGGCAGTCATACATGTGTATGTATATGTAATATATGTGTATTGTACCACTATTTTGTATAGATCATGCATTTATTTACTATGTATTATGCATTATGTCCGTCTTATTTATAAAGTGTTAAATTTTTTGTTTTGTTTCCTAGTGGTGTTTGGTTCCTGTACATTTTTTTCCTCATTGATGTTATTTCAGAGCCTCCCTTACACAATGTCCAAAAGTCCCGTAAGAAATTTCAAGTGAATAAATGAATAAATTAAACGTATATGAGGTCGTGAAATAATCCACGCAGTAGCAATAATCGCACAATCACATTTGAGATGCGAAAAAAAAAAGCAACAAGCGAGAAAGCTAGAGCGGCCGGAAAACCACGTTCACGCACGTGCCGCTAAGGTTATTTCACTTTTGTTCTGCTATCTCGCGAGTAGACTTGTACTCCAGTACCGCGATTGCCGGTGGTGGCACGCCGGTGTTTCTACCTTCGGCAGCAGCGCGCAACCGGCGCGGTGTCCATCGGAGCGGCGGTGCCGCGGTGCGGAGGGGATAGGGATTATCAAATTTTCAAGATTGAAGAGTTGATGGGCATAGAAACTTGAGTGTAAAAAAAAATGTTCCCAGGAAAGGCGAAGCAGTTATCGTGGTAGCGGCACGTTTTAATGTTATCTGTTTACGTAGAACTCTGTCTCTGTTTTTCAGACATAGCATCTGTAAATACAAATGTTAAGGTCCCTGAATAATACAATTTAGCAAATACTTGTTTACGCAATTATTTTTTTAACTTCTCTGCATCGAGTGTGTGCAGATGCCCATCAAGGTACTTCCAAAAATGCCCGTTCTTGTAGAGAAGGGACAAACAAACGTAAGAAAGTGAAAACAACTCTGAATTGATCTTACAGGCACGGTATTTAGAGGATCAAATCGCCGTGTATGGTGTGAAGAAGATGCAACAAAAGACATGGGTGCTAGAACTCTCGTACCGGTGTGAACTTTGATTTATGCAGGCGGATTACACGATTGCAAGGGTAATATATATATATATATATATATATATATATATATATATATATATATATATATATATATATATATATATATATATATATATATATATATATATGTGTGTGTGTGTGTGTGTGTGTGTGTGTGTGTGGTGTGTGTGTGTGTGTGTGTGTGTGTGTGTGTGTGTGTGTGTGTGTGTGTGTGTGTGTGCGTGTGTGTGTGTGTGTGTGTGTGTGTGTTTTCGAGAGGGGCTGCAGCGATAGAACGCGCACATGCGAAGTAGGCCAGGAACGCTGGTGATAGCGATAAGTATGAGCACTATTGAATTTTTAGCAGATTCTAACATAGTTATACCACGTTGTGGTGAGGCCGCCAAACAACCAACGCATATTTGAGTCTGACCAAAGCAATTTGCGCTGTCAGTCAGCATTCTCTTGCTGGGTTGTTTAACGTGCGTTGATTGATTGATATGTGGGGCTTACATGCCAAAATCACCATACGATGATGAGAGACGCTGTAGGGGAGGGCTCCGGAAATTTTGACCACCTGGGGTTCTTTAACGTGCACCCGAATCTGAGCACACGGGCATACAGCATTTCTGCCTCCATCGAAAATGCAGCCGCCACAACCGGGATTTGATCCCGCGATCTGCGGGCCAGCAGCCGAGTACCTTAGCCACTAGACCACCACAGCGGGGCTGCTGATAAAATTTTGAGAACGTAATTCTAACCAGCGGGGCGACCTCAAGAGATCATTCAACTTACATTAAAGGGTTGACCTCATTTCAAGAGCACAGCTCATTAGTATTCAATCCGGTAAAACCAGAACGTTTGTTCTACTAAACGCGTGAAATATTTGTTATATGAGGCCTAATCGTGGTGTCGATAAGCATAATGATGACGTTGTGTATTACCTACTAAACACGAGCTTCTATATGAGGTCGTGAATTCTAATGTGGTGCTTGCCACAGAAGTGAAAGATCCTGTGCAGTGTTTTATGAGCCTCGATATTAGCCTGATTTTGAATGTAGACAAAACCAAACTTGGCTTTCATTTTGCTTATGCGTGAACGATTTCACTAGGTAAAATGACATTATTATCGGTTCCTAATATTGAAACAAGCTGATTCCAGGATACATACCTATACGCTTGGAAAATAACGACCATGTCAGGTCGGAGGCCCTACCGGCAAGTCATAAATGGTGTGCCCAGGTGTCTGGTGGCCATACCAGATATCTTTCGGAAAGGCCTCTCTTTTCCAGCTGCCAAGGGGGACGTTGTGCAGAGCAGCTATCCCAAAAGTGGCACCCACTGGGTTCAGTACCTCACGCAGCTTATCCTGAACGGAGGACAACCAATCAACTCCTACGACGATTTCACCCGCAACCTTCGAGCGATCGAGTACATGGACACCGAAGGTTGGGTGTCGTCAATGCCAGTCAGACTGTTCATGACGCATCTGCCGTTGAGTCGAGACATAATGAACGAGGAGGCTAAGTACGCCTACGTCGCCCGAAACCCGTGGGATGTTTGTGTGTCGCAGTTCCGCGTGACCAAAGATTTCAGCATCGCGAAGTTCGAAGACGGAACCTTCGAAGCGTTCTTCGAACCTTTCATCAAGGGCGATTTGGGTTACGGGAGCTACTTCGACCACGTGGCGTCAGGTTACGCCTTCAAGGATAAACAGAACGTGTTTTTCGTGACCTACGAAGAGCTCAAAAAGGACACTAAAGGCACAATCTTGAGACTGGCTGGCTTTCTGGGTGAGAGCTACCAATCAGCTCTTCTGAAAGACTCGCAAATGCTCTAAAACATCCTAGAATTATCAAAACCAGAGCACATGAAAAAGGTTATCGTGCTTAATCTCAACGAGAATGAGACTCAGGAATGGAACGAGCTTTTTGACAACCGCAAAATTACGAGCAAGGAAGGCTACGCTGGAGAAAAATCAAAGTACGCTCTGGTCAAAGAAGCCAAGGTGGGAGGATGGAAAGCACACTTTACGCTCGAACTACTCGCCCGTTTTGAGAAGAAAATACTGCGAGAAGGGGACATAGCATCATTTATGAAACTGTGGGAAGACATTCGCAAGGAAGCTTTTAAATTATTCCGCGAGTCTACATAACACCTGTTGTCCTCTATAGTTAAGTTGTTAGCTGCTGGTGAACAATTCAAATGAAGAAATAGGCAGCACCAAAATGCTTTTGCAAAAAAAATTCTTCTGCAACTAATTGAATTACTTTCTTGTATGGATGTATCCGGCAATGTAAGCAGAACGAATTATTCTTGATCTTCAACAATGATTTCTCCTGAATTGTACAGCCGATTTTCATGGCTTACATTTGAGTGTGGCGAAAAGTAAGAGCACGCATGCTGCGTCATTATGTATAAGAGTTTACCAATTTGGTTTTCTCCGCACTAAAGCACCTTGTCATATAACTACACATGGCGAAAATTCATTACGTTTTCTTGTTTATCATTTACTTACATGTCTCTGCTGAACGGAAGAAACGATATATTATGGTACAACGTGTTATTGCGTGTTTTCAAGTTTATTAAGGAGTGCATCGCCATTACCAGAAGCACGCTTCTGGCAGATTATCTATGAGCTCCTTGAATCTAAGTGCATTGAAGTGTACAAAAATGATCTAATCAACCTCTCAGTTTACGCGTACGAGCTTGAGACGCGTTGGCGATGTGTCCTTTCATGAACGTAGATTCGTTGTTCTCAAAGGGCACTGCGTTCACCATAATATTCATTTTCACATAGTGATCGTTTATTATAATAATGAATTTACCAAAATTCCACAAGAATAAAAAAATTTTTGAAAATTTGTACAATGAATAAGATGTGCCTACAGCGAGCAGCATCTATCGCCAACGCCCGGCTCCCTCAGCTCGTGCTACGGTTCACAGCTGTGCGGGTGTCGGGACGGTTCTTCTCACGGCCTCGCCACTGCCAACGATAAGGTGTTAACGGCTAATAAACCAATTCACATTTGGTCGAGGGTGCTGTTTATCCCCTACGCTACACCACGGAGCTGCAAAACCGCAGGCTTCCACTCGTCATGACTGACGACGCCAACCCATCGGCGCCATCACCCCAGTTCGTCAACTGCCCTGGCCATCCTAGGCTACGGGACCCGATGGTTTTCAGCGGTGTGGATGGGACCGACGTGGAAAACTGGCTTGAGAACTACGAATTGGTGTGTCCCTAATAATACGTGGGATGAGGCCGAGAAGCTGGGCCACGTCATATTTTATCTCACTGGCGTCACCGAATCGTTGTTTAACAACCACAAACACAACATCTCCCTATGGAGCGTCTTCAAGACGTCCTGTTCTGAAGTGTTCGGGCGGCCGACAGTCCGCAAGCAGCGCGCTGAACAGTGCTTGTACGTACGCTCTCAGCAGACTGGCGAAATCTTCACCAGCTATATAGAGGACGTCGTCGACCTTTGTTGGCGTGCGAATGACAACATAGCTGAAGCAGACATCAAACACATCCTAACAGGCATTGATCACGGTGAATGGCTATGAATCCGAGCACAGTTTTCGAAGTCATCAGTTTGTGCCAAAGCTATGACATGTTGACAAAGAATGGGGAAACTTAGGCTTCGTTTTTATGTGTTTAACGCGATAGCGAAATCCAGCCCCTAGTGCGCCCTTCAACCGCTGAGTGCATACTTATTAATACGTTTTGTTACACACACACACAAACACACACACGCACACACACACACACACAAACACACACACACACACACACACACACACACACACACACACACACACACACACACACACACTGTAGATTGTACCAGCGTGCGAGCGAATGGTACATACAGGTTTTTCATCTACAGAAACAGTCGCGTGGTCTCTAAGATACACGCCGCGCGCTTGCCATCTCGGAGGCCATAAAGATTCTGACAATGACTCACAGATGACAGCACATTATTTAGCATTTGCTGCCTGCTTGGTCAACGCCTCTGGAAAAGCATGACAAGTTTTCCTATACGGACATAGTTCTTCATGTTCAGAGCTGTTTGAAAGTTCCTCTGTGTTTTAGCGGTGGTGGCTGCACTATACGGGCCTTTTTGGACGTAGTTTCATGACCGCCCATACGCGCCACTAATCGCCAAACGGGCTTGTTTTCGTCGTGAAACCTGTCAAACAAAATGCGTTAAAACGCCCTGAAACACTTTTTCAGCTAACCGCAGAATGAATTCACTAGAAGAGCTTATTGGCTTATGAATTCGACGCCGCAATAGTATTAAGAATCTGTCCAGGTCGAGTGGAATTTCAAAGGTTTCTCGCATGCTGCAATAGACGTCAGACTCTGGTGTTTTGCGGACATGCAGCGCCACCTGTCGATGCAGCTTTGAGTAATGTAAAGCCTGACACCATTGCACACTTTTATGCGCAACTGGATGGAATTCCAGCGTATGAAACAACAATTTCAGCTGAATATTAGATGTATTTGCGCATTGAACACTCAAAAAAGAGCTACAAATTTCTCTCCCCTAGTCAGACACGTCACCCAACCGCCGTGAAGTTCTTCCTGGTTCACTCGCCCGAACGACGACGAAAACAAAAGCAGACGCAATAGCAAAGCACTCTACGAAAAAAAGACCCCAGTCAGCGCTACTGTTGCGTTGGGAATCGCCACGGATGTAGATGACTACGGTTTTTCCGATTTCCGCAGCTTTCGCAAAGCAGAATAGCGATAACGCTAAAAACAGGTCGTTAGGAACGTGTAGGGTATGCGAATATTCGCGTTCTCCATTGCCATTCGCTTTAGTAAGTGTGATAATGTAGGTCTCCTTTCATTGTATTGAGTAGCCTTGACGGAGAATCGTGGTAAATTTGATTATGAAGCTTCACAGACCCTCTGTCCGACGTGCAAGAGTAGACAGGTGACGCGCGGCCTGATCGCACGCCACACGTTGCGCCCACCGATAATCTGAAGCTATCGCCACCACACAGCATTACGCACACTAGGATTTTGAAGGCCATAAGTTCCAGCTTTAACTAGTAAATGCAAACACGTGCGTCCTACTGGTAAATCGCAAAATGGTCGCGACCAAAAACAGTTTTTTTTTTTGCCGTTGGTCTTCAGCATTACCGGAGCTATCTTGGAGGCATTGGTTTTGCCTTTCGTTGTTTACCGAGAAAGTGGACATGCGTGTCTCCCCATTTGTAGTATATACACATTGAAGATAACCGTCAACAGAGCATGTCTGATAAGACACTTCAATGCACCGCAAGCAAGAATGCAACTGCAAAGCGAAAATCACCAGAGACATTCGTGCCGGATAAAGCGAGCTTCGTACCACTGAGCGCATAGATTGTTCGTGCATGCACTTGGTTTAGTGCTTGCCTTGAAATCGATGTCATGCAATGCTCGCTTCCACTTAAATTACCAGGGGTAGCAAGCCGAAATTAATCAAACATATTTTGCATTCAGCCCGCATTTAGTTTTGTTGACATTCCTACTTTCACGAAGCACACGTGGCTTGAAGGAAGAACCTTGCCAGGTACTTGATTTTCAGAAAACCGCGCCTCAAGAAACACAAAAGAGGAAGGCCTATGCACGTTCACTTGCGGACGGTTCTCAGTGCACTATGCAATTAGGCTCAGCGTGGCAATGGGAGCGCAGGTGGTGGCGTTTTTCGCAGCGCCGCCTGGGCAGAGCCTGACGTCTATGGCATTCTCTGTTCTCTCGTCCCGATGAAAGCGCAGAAAGCTAAACAGGAAGGGGTGGCAGGGGCAAATAAACTACCTCACCCACGCCTCGTGACCATGGGCACGTTTTCTTTTTCTTTCTCGAATTCGCGGCTTTTTCTGTGTGATCGCGCGCGCACACGTGGCAATCTCTGTAAAGAGCTTTTTCGCTCATGGACTATGTTTCGCTCACAACCAACGCGGCAAACACAAACGGCGGAACTTCTGCGACACGAGCTCTCTAACGCTATCGCGTTAAAAGCAACGCCTTTTGACTTAAAAGCCTCCGCGTGGTGGCGAGTCGCTGTCCAGTTTCGACAGCATGCCTGATCATTAAACGTTGCTTCAAGTAGTCGAAGCCTTCGTCCGTGAGGAAGTTTGCCCACCAACTTTCCCTGGTGCAATTTACTCACGAGACCACCAGCTGTCTACCTACCCCGATCCGCACACCTATTTCGGAAGAGGTTGATCAAGCAGTTCCTCTTGCGCACCACGAGACGCCTTCATCCAGCCGTGTTCACTGCCCACGTGCCGCGCAGCCGGTGGGCGCTCCTGTCGCCTATCTGCCAGCCGTGCAGCCTGTGGCCACGACCCTAACGTATGCAGAGCAGCCTGTGGCTGCTCCTGTCACCTATTAGCAAGAAATGCAGCTTGTAGCCGCACCCCTCACATATGCTGACGCTGTGCATAGGCTTCCGCAACTGATTTACCCCACGCGTTCACAGCCTGAGCGCCCAGCTGCTTACACTGCACCTTGGGTGGCACCACCAGTCTCTAATCCTTGGAGGACACCCAATAACCAACCGATTTGCAACGCCTGCCTCACTCCCGGACGCGTCGCTCGCTACAGCTTCCATCGACCTCAGACGTCTCAGCGAGTATGCCCGATCGCCGCAACCCAGCAGCGAAGCCTTCGCCCAATACGGGCCAGTCTCGTCACCTCGCTATGCCCTTACCGGCCACCCTGACTTCTATAGCCACAGCGCGTACCCTCTCCTTGTCGGCGATCGCCCTTCCCCATGCGTCACCGGTCCGGACCCTCTGACCAGGAAAACTAACCACCGCAGTGCAAGAGGCAAGAACTTCGCCAATTTTAAGCTGTCCAAGCCCTCACTACTCCTCTGCTAACGTGGTCACATTAACTGTTGAAGGTCATTGTACTTTTGCCCCTGTAGATATCGGCGCCACTGTTTCTGTTATAGCCGCTAATCTCTGCCGTTTATTACGCAAAGTCACGATGCCACTTTCGGGACTCTCGCTGCACACCGCAAGCGCACAGCAAGGGACGCCTACCGTGGTCTGCACTGCAAGAATGTCCATCGAAGGCATTCTTTACATCGTGTAATTTATTGCCCTCGCTGTCTGTTCGCATGACGTCCTCCTCGTGTGGTACTTCCTATCCCGCCATAAGGCCACCATCGACTGCGCACGCGCTGAAGTAGGGTTTTCAACCTTGTGTGACGTCCCATTATTTGACGCTTTTCATCAGCCGCCTAGGTTACTCGATCGTGAAGATACCAACATTCTCCCTGGAAATTTCGCGCTTGTTCCGGTTTCATGCAACGCCTTTACAATGACGCTACAGTCTTTTTTGTGCCTTCCGGTGTCTCCACAAGTCGTCGAGCACTGCCGCTACCTTTTACGACGCTTACGACGCTTGACATTGCCGCCGGAAGCAGCATTATGTTCATTCTGAATTCACTTTCCGCACTTGTCACTTTGCTTGCTCGGGAATTTCTCGGCCGCATGCAGGATCTCGCCACTTTGGTCAAGTCCCCAATGGCTACGGCAACCACCCAAAAGCACTGTCGGCCCCTGTGGAGTCATTCAAAAATACGTTTTTGAGCGCCATAGCTGACACCCCCACGCCCACCGAACATACCGACCAACTTCATCTTCTGCATGAGTTCCGAAATTCTTTCAATATGTCCCAACCTCAACTGGGCCACACGTCGCAAGTCAAACGTTATGTTGACAACGGCCTACATCAGCCACTGCATCAAAGACCATACCACATCTCCACTGAAGAGCGTCGCGTCATCAACGATCAAGACGAAGATAGGCTTCATAGAGACGTCATTCGATCATTTCACAGTTTCTGGGTGTTTCGTGTCGTCCTGGTGCGTAAGAGAGACGGATCGATCCGGTTTTGCGTTGACTATCGTCGTTTGATTAAGATAACCCGCAATGACCTCTATCCTTTGCCGCACATATCGATGACGCCATTGATGCCCTTCACGAAGCGGAATTCTTCTCGTCGCTAGATTTGCAGTCTGGCTTCTGGAAAGTCCCAATGGCTGAAGCGGATCGCCAAAAAACTGCATTTGATACACCTGACAGACATTTCGAGTTTAACGTCATGCCTTTTGGGCTTTGTAACGGGCGCGTGCCACGTTTGAAAAGCTTATGGATAATACTCTACGTAGCCTTAGGTGGAATATGTGCCTCTGTCACCTAGACGAAGTTCTTGTTTTCTGGCATG